ATAGAAGTGTCTCTTTTACTCTAAGATGCTGATTTTTCACAGGCACACTAATATACCAGCACATACCCAAATACTACACAAAACCCCCTAAAGTAAAGATATGTGGATCCTGTGAAATTCTCTTGCCCACATGCCGATCTATTTTGTAACTGGGGAGACTGTGCTCTTTTTTGGTATTATTCCTGTGCAGTAAGTTTGCAGTAAGTTTCCTTCTAACATCAGGGGGGAAAAAAAACAAATCAAACACGAAAGAAATCTCAACTGAAGAGCTGGTACATGCATGGTTGGCATAAATGAAACACACGCACACACACACAAATCCAGTCTGGCAGGTCAGATGGATGGCTCATAGTGCTGTATTTTAGCAAAGTTACAGTCTATAATCAAACCATTTTATCCACTTAGAGCTTTAATTTCAAGGTCAAGAAAATAGTTTAATAGGAAGTCAGAAACAGCGATGGCCAAGAATAATAAAAATCACATTTCTGTGGCAGAATTTTTACTTTTTTTTTTTTTTTTTTTTCCCCCTGATGTGGCATTTCCTTATTTCTTGCTTGTAACAGCACAGTAACAGAATTGCTAAAACTAAGCTATATGATTTAGCAGAAGTGACAGCTAGAGAATTGTCACAGAAAGGGTACTGTGCATTAATTACACACAGGGTGAAGCTAGTCCTTGAGGAGTTAAGTTTATGGAAGGTGAGAATAAAGCTTGTAATTTTACCTTAAATTCTTTAATCATGCTTTAAACCTCTGGCAGGCAGATTTTTTTTTTTTTCCTGAGACAAATTATTAAACAAAGCTTACATAATCTGAAGTTGGTAGACCTTGAACAAAGAGAAACAGGACCTGCTGTGCTGGATAACCACACACAGATGCTCTGTGAAAAAAAGAACAAAAAGTTATTTTAGCTGCTGCTGTCAGGCTTCAGCACTGAGCATCTTCATCTCACAGTGACCAATGTGGCACACCAAAGGCTTCCATTTATGGTCACAATAAATTCTGTCAGTCCCATAGAAGGCCTAGAAATGTGAATTTGCCTAGAAGCTTGACAACTTTGAGTTTTTACATTTCTATCATTCCTATGGATAGCTTTTGGAAAACAGTTTAGTTTAGATAGAAAGGTTCTTCAATCTCTAAAAAGTGTGAAAATCAATCTATAAACCAGTGTGCAGCCAAGTAAGCAGCTCAGACTGGTGTTTAGTACGCTACTTTATCTTTGCATTGTAATTTTGTTGTCTTTATCCTGGAGCAGGCTTCAGGTAAATGATCCACCTGCATTAGCTGCAGCATGCGGTCACTGCGCCCCGCAGGACCCCGCCGGGGGCTGGGCAGCCGGTGTCCCCGAGCCCTGCGGCAGGCGCACGCTGCCCCCTAGCCGCCCGCCAAAAAAAAATAGCCCCCGCCCCGCCGCACGGCCGCCTGCCCGGGCTGCGCAGGGACCCAGCACGGGAAGGCGGGAGCTTTCATCAACACCTTTACTTGCTGCACTAATTAAGACCTGGAAAAAATGTGCAATTTTAAGTGATTTCACTGCAGATGTTTACACACCTCAGAGGAAAAGGGCTCCACGTCCCCACAAGAGGTAAGATACCACAGCAGGCTCTGGTCAAAGCCCCCTTGCCAGCCCTCATGCAGTGCACTCCAGGCCCCCCTACCTTCTATTCCACTCTATAAGTGATAGCCAAGTTTTAGCTTTCAACAAAACCCAGTTACTCACCACAATAATACATAAAAGGAATTTATACAACCATTTATCTGCTAAATAAAAAAGCTACTTGCACTTTGCCCGAGCCCCATACTTTTACCTTAAAGCCAGCCCTCCCTCCAAGGAATTACAGACATTTCCAAATTTCTGCTGGGCTACCTGCCCAAAAAATGGAGCACAGAGCATTTCAGATTTTTAATGCCATGTAAATGTTAAATCTGGATTGATGGTAAATTTCTTACTCTTATTTATCTTACTCTTTATTTTCTTATACTCTTATTTCCTCTGCTCATGCTCTCAGGTATTACAGTGGGGTGTTAGAGCAACTTTTAAATTCAGTTTTAGCTTCTACTTTCACCCATCAACAGAATTTTACATTCATGAGTTGAATTACACCGTGATTTTGAATCAACCACAGACAGCCCAATTTTTGCAATTACATTTATTCTAGATATATCAAGACTTAAATCTTATTGAAAGCAGCTACATCCATTGATTGTACATAATCTTCAAAAGCTGTTATTCTCTCTTCCAGCATATCTGTTCCAACTTTATCATCTTCAACAACACACTGGATCTGAAGCTTTTTGATACCATAACCAACAGGTACTAGCTTGGCTGTGAAAAGAAAAAAGCATTTATTAGTCATTGACTGGTGGGTGTCTCGTTCCATATTATAGACTGTCTAATCAATAACACAGCATTCACTGCGAGGTGGTCAAAAGGATTCGGTTTTGCATGGGGGTTTTTCCCCCCTCCAAACCAGTGATATGGGTGTATGGGTCTTTGCTTGCTACATCAGATCTGCACAGGGAGATGAAGGGCAGCAGAGCTGAACTTTTACGGCTTTAAAAACCTGTATGTGAATCTTAACCTGGCCACTGCACTAATACACCTTTTTGATTATATCAAGATACTAAGCACTGTAGTATTCTAATTCCTGCACTGTTTTAGCATTTTCACAGCTCAAACAGTGACCACAAGTCTACCTGCTCATACTGCACCTTAAGAGACTGCATTACCTCCCTCTCCCTGCTTTGGAATTTTCTCCTACTTACAAGA